CATGCTGGCTGGGGAATTCTGGGAGTTGAAGTCCACCCATCTTAAAATGGCCGAGGTTGAAAAACACGTTTCAACCCCAAGCTGCAAGATGTGTAATATGAAGACCATATCCAGCAAATTTGGCATTAAGAGAGCCATTGAAGCAATATAAGGTTTCTCTTAAAAGCAGTGTGTGTTTGCTCTGCAGTCCCCATTCAGCGAAAAGAAAAATTCTGAGTTCGGCCTTTACTTGCTCTCAGCCGTCCTCCGGAGGAGGGAGGGAGAAGCGAGTTGGGTGTGAGTCTAGGAATCCTATCTATGGTCATCCTATCCGGAAGTGGAGTCAGAATTGCTTGTTCTAGGCGTTATATCTATCGTCAATCTCTTCCGAAAGGAGACGGAAGTTGAGCCCGTTGAAAGTCTCCGCGCTCTTTATGGTCCAGAAGGAACCGGAAGGTACTATCTTTATTGATGTCCGTTGCCCGGAACTTATTGGTCGGTGGGTTGGGTAAGCTTATCGCTTCCCCCCGCCTCTTCTCTCCACGCATATATATAGTCCCCGGGTTAAGAACGCCCGTTTACAGACGATTCATCGTTAGAGTGGACCTATTATAGCAAAATTTGAGTTAAATACACAATGATTCGAGTTAGTACCGTATATGTATATTTAGATATTTTTGTATCCGTTCTTACCCTCTGAAGAAAGGGAAGGCTGAAGTCCACCTTCCTCCCTGCCCCATTTTAGGTTCACACTAGCCCTCCCTGTAAGGTAGGCCAACCTGCAAGAACGAACGATTGCCCCCCGATGAACCTTCATGGCTGCCCGAAGATTTGAGCCTCTCATGGCGTTGTTCCCACTTTGCGGTTTTCTTGTAGGGCCTCTTCCAGCTCAACGGCTGGCCTAATAAAGACGGCCTGTGCGGATTTTGCCCCCGAAAAGCCCCACGTGGCACTTGAGAAACCGAGCTGGATTTGCTCCTCAGTTGGAGAAGCGTTTCGAAGTGTAAGGCTGACCAGTAAGTCCTCCTGCAATCGATCCAACGCAAGACGGAGGCATTTCATCTGGAATAGTAACCCTCACGTTTTCTTGTTACTTGCAGGTGGAAAAGGACTGCTCCCTGGGCCTCATCATGGATCCTGCGGCGTCACAAATCCACCCCGTTGCTTCCAAGAGGAATGCCCACATCCTTGTAGGGGTAACGGGGAGCGTAGCTGCGTTAAAGTTGCCTCTTCTGGTGGCAGAGCTTCTGAAGATACCTGGAGTGAGCAGTTTCACATAAACCAGTTTTGGTATTTTCAGTGGGGGGGGGGGATGCTGAAGGGGAAAATTCCCCACGATGCAGTTGACGAGAGGAGAGAGCGCAATCTGCTGAGCCAAGTTTATTTGAACAGCGCTGGGGACACACCACAAGGTTCTGTCCACTGAGGGAGAGTCCAAACAAGCTGTATAATAAATGCTGACCAGTAATTGTGTCAGATGTCAGTTCATCTTATTTTTGATAACATGGGTTACATTTTCTGCTTATGGTGAGAATACACAGTTAATAAAATGGAGGTTGGCGTGAGTCAGTTTACTTCCTAGTTCCGGTTTAAAATACAAGAGCTGATTTAAGATGACTCATGAGCCAGCATTTGCAAATGCCTAAGCAAGCTGTTAAGGAGGTTTACTCGAGTTCAGGGGCCTTGGTTGTTTTTAGGTCTCGATTCAGGTATTTGTTTTACTCCTTCAGTGGACATTGCTGCTTTGGCTCAGAGTGATTAACTGGGGTTTATTTATTTACTTATACATCACATTTATATAACTGCCCATCTCACACAAGCAACTCTCGGCGGCATACAACAATTACTCTGGAGTCCACATTCTGCATAAAAGTTAAGAACACATTTGATTTAGAAGCCGTTTCTTGGGATCTGAGACTAGTGATAGAAGTCTTACAGATACATTTCTGGGAAAAATCCTGGGCATTTCTGTCTGGGGACAGTAGAGGTTTCTAGCTAGGATCCAGAGTTAATTTTGATCACAGTCTGTTTTGAATGCTTCTTAGAGTAACTTTGAACTGGTAGTTCTTGGAGCTCCTGTGAGGATGAATGAAATATATTTATTTCCTCAGAACGACTGTGTTAACAGTAATCCCAAGAAGTAACAAGAAATATCAGGCTTTGAATTAGAGAATGCAGTTGAAAAAATTTCCTGGAAGAAGAGAGTAGCAAACCACATCCATATTGTGGCCAAGAAGACTCCCTGGATGTGCCAATGGAGTCACTTGGAGTCATAGTTAATTTGAGGGAGAATTTCACCATGGCTAAGTAGATTTACAGCTCTTCTTCCTGAATATTGAGACCCATATGGTGAAACTATTGCAGGATTAGGGATCTTAATTAATTTACAAAAGTCTTCACCCATCTGTATTTTGTTTGAATAGATGTGAGATGATAGTTCCTAGAAGAATGGATCATCTGAAAGTTTATTGCTTAACTGGTCCCTTTGCCAGTACTCTCTGGTCAGGAGATTATTCAGTGCTAGTTGGCTACAAATCATTACTTCATTGTCACATGGAATCTTGTTATCCAAGTATATTGCTTAAGGCTGCACTTAATACTTTCTTTGTTCTCTTGTGACAAGAAATGGCATGTATCCGTTGGACAAGGAATGCAGCATAGCTTAACAAAAGTATTAAAGTATTCCTTTTTGTAATTATAACAAAGGGCTTGGGACAGTGTCTGGATGAAATGAAGTCTATACAAGTAGGTCAGAGGGTTTTTTGTGTGTAACGGAACACTGATAACAAAGACCTGTAGATGTTAAAAAGCCAATTAAAGATCATAGCCAACTATCAATAATTTCATCATTAAATGTAATCAAGTTGAAACCCTAGGATGCCAAGGGAAGGCTTCCTTTCATAGCATTATTCATGAAACCAACCATTGCTGCTTTGCTATTCCACTAGTATCTAGTTTGGTTACGACTGCCAGATTTGTTCTGCAAAAATCTGAATGACCACTAGATGGCGTCAAGGAATTAGAGATGCCTCTCTGTCTCCTTCCCTCTCAGTCTTCTGGATTTTTGCAGCCCAAATCTGGTTGCCACTTAATTTGCTGTATGCAATAAAGCATTTCATGGCAAAGGGAAGACTTTTATGTTTTTTTTATCTGAGGATTGCATTTCATGCATCTCTAAAGTCTTTAGTCCATAAAAACATGCTCCTCAACAAATAATCTACAGTATGCTTTAGGAGTCTTTGATTTAGTTCACATGTCTAAGCTAAAATGTAATTCATCTGCTTTTGGCCTAGTGGGACATGCAAACCTGGTCATTTTGTACTGGGAGTATATACGTATTTGCTATAACAGGTCTAGTTCATTCTTTGGCATTGGTGTATAGCATTATAGAGTCAAACTCTTAAATTAGAAATGGCTCTTTTTGTAATTCCATCCGTTTCCCGCTGTTCTTCTCTTTTTAGCTGGAAGTTCAGGTGGTGACTACAGAGAATGCAAAACACTTCTATAATCCTGAAGAGATTCCCGTAAGAATCTACAGTGACTCCGATGAGTGGCAGGTTAGCATTGTTCAGACACGTTTAGCTTGTCCTTTATGGCTAAGGAGCTCTTATTTGCGCCCTAGCTCACAAACTCTGTAGAATGAACCTAATATTTTCTGACTGCAGCATTTCATTTTGGAATTTGGTTGTGGTTGGGGACCAACAACAGACTATCTTATGTTTTATACCTTGCACTGTTTGCACTGGGATAACTGCTGGTTTGCTCTTTGTTTTACCGAGCCTAGGAAGATCAGCAGGAAAGAAACACACTCTGAGCTATCAACATGGCAGAGAATTGTCTTTTTTCGACTTTGCGTTTTTCCAGCTGCAACTTTTACATATGTCAGGCCCAGCCTAAGAACAACGGTGAAACAGTCCAGTCGAGTACAGTTCCCTTATTTGCTTACACCATATAGACAGAATCTTGCCAGACTAAATCTATACTACAGCAAGTAGCGGATATACCCTGGGAGATTCTAGGGAGTGGCAACCCTGAACCTCTTACTCTTCCCACGCTCCCCCTGCGGACTGAGTTGTCTCTCGTCTCCTTTCCCCTGCTGGAATGCACCCCCTCCTTTCTGATAGCCTTGATCTCCCACATCACCCTCCTCCTAGTAGATACTTTCCACCACAACATACAAGGAAAAGGGATGTTAGCTTAGTATCTTGGACTGTACCTATGTGGAACACGATTAAGCACGCAGGGTGATTACATTAAATCTAAGCTGCATTTTCTCCTCAGATGTGGAAAAAGCGCACCGATCCTGTGCTACATATTGACTTGAGGCGTTGGGCTGACCTCTTGTTGGTGGCTCCTCTGGATGCGAATACCCTTGCCAAAATTGCAAATGGCATTTGTGACAACTTACTGGTGAGTTACTGGAAGGTGCTCCATGGTTGACCCAAGATCTTCCTCACTATGACCTGTGTGGTAGATTGTTTCATAACCATCTGCATTAATGGCATCTGTACAAACCATAAGGACATCAAGAGGATGATATGTGCGCAGATGATACAATTATGTAATGACGTCATGGTATGTCAGCCCTTCAGGGTAGAGTAGACTAGGAAACCAATGTCATGTAGGTCAGTGCTCGGTCATTGTAAAGCTATAGTAACAGAATCTTGCAAGTCTGAATGTGTGTCCCTCTCCATCCCTTTATCTTTGTGAGAATGAGGGAGGGGCCGGTCTGAGACGTTTATTTATGTTATGTTCTTCCTTCAGACTCAGACCTCTTTTATCTGACTGTTGCACTCTTCCTCCTGTCCCTCAAGGCTGTTCCTTCTACCCTCTACATGGTATTTGATGGAAGGATGTAAATTGAGTTCTTTAAGTGATGATGCAAAGATGCACGTGCTGTCATTTGCCTGTCCTCCCCCCCATGTCTCTCCCATAGACATGGTCTCCATGCTACAACTTAGTGTGTGGGGCTGATGCAGGTGGTTAATTATTGTGTTTGATGCATTTGGGTATATTTTTACTTTTTGAAAAAAAAGGAAACAGTTTCTCTGTGGATGAATTAAAAAAGATTTTAGTATTTAAAAATTAAAATGTCTAATTCTTACCAATCACACAGAAAATGGGGAAGGTTTGGTTGAAGAATTATCCCTGGAGAGAATCTTGAAAACAGGTGTCTTCTCAGAGAGGGAAAATTCTTGGGGTCAGACTTTGGGGGATATTCCCCACTTCTGACTTGGAGGGCTCATCCCCCATAATATCCTGAAGCTCTAGAAGCAACCCTATAGGTCCAAGCCCTTAAAGGATTTCTCGACTTGCTAAGATATGAGGGTCGTGATCAAGAAAATTATGTGCAATTGGAAGGTCAGAGCACAGGGGGATACACAGAGTGGGGGAGTGTTGAACTAGAGGAAGCGACAAATGTCATGTGCTTTTGTCCTGATTGCCAAAAGGAGGATGAGGCTAGTCCTAAATTATTTATTTATTTATATATCAAATTTATATCACCACCCAACTCCCCCACAAGGAGGGACTCTGGGCGGTTCACAACAAAATTAGGAAAAGAACAAGGAAATGTGGGAAAAGAAGTGCTTGAATAGGGGTTTTGGGGAAAAAACAGGATGTTTGCTGAGACAATGCAAGGCCTTGTGGCCAGGTGACCTTCAGGTAGGGAACTGGACACAAAGAAAAAGCTTCAAAGCAAAAATTTGCACTGTTATCTGCAGAATTATTAATAGAAAATGATTGATATAATGTCTATAACTGCTGTAAACGGTGGGGGTGGAATTGATTATAAAAACTGAGATGGGGAGTTGTTTGGGACTCTTCCTTTTTTTGAGAAGCGTCCTCCTTTATGTTGATCTTCAGTAAACGAGACGGTTATTTCTCCCACTCTGTGTGATAATTGGGCTTCTCACCAAGTGCACGAATCTAGGGGTCTCTTGGACCAACAAATAGGTGCTCTCAGGCTAGAAAACTCTCCATATCTGCTGCCCTCTAAATGTTTAGCCCTACGTATCTGGAAGACCCCAGATTTGGGGAAGTCTGAAATAGAACATGCCTAGGTAGTTCTGCTCAGTGGGGGGAAATGAAATTTCCCATCTGGCTGCAAGATTATTTGAGTCTGCAACTGGCTCCAGGCTGTTACTGGAGCACCTTCCAAGCTCTGTGTGGGTTGGTATATCCTGTAGATTAACCAGCCCCACCCTCCATTCCTCTGTCCAAGGTTCTGACTGCATTCCCCTTGTGGTCAGCCATCTTCCCTCGGTCCCCCGCTTTGGCCATTTCCTCCTAAGGTTTTGCCTTTCTTTGCAGACGTGTGTCATCCGTGCCTGGGACCTGAGCAAACCCTTGTTCTTCTGTCCTGCCATGAACACGTTTATGTGGGAGCACCCCATCACAGCTCGGCAGGTGGAGCAGCTGAAAGAATTTGGCTACATAGAGGTTCCTTGTACAGTGAAGAAACTGGTTTGTGGGGATGAAGGTTGGTATCCTTCTCCTTTCTGTGCAATTGCGGCGAGGTGAAAAGATTCGGAGAGTTCTGCTGTAGACTGATTGTGACACTGGGCTCTGAAAATGTGCTTTCCTTTGCTCCCCATGAATGTTGTTTGCGCTTCCAATTTTTTTGTTTGGGTCCTATATAGACATTGCAACTTTTTTGGTTCCATTCTGTATGTGTGTCCTCAGAAGTAAGCCCCATTAAGTTCAGCATGCCTTGCTTCTAGGAAATGTACCATAGGGTGGCAACCTGAGTGGTAAACTCATTTGATTGATTTTAATTGCTTTGATCACTTAGAAAGACGACCCTAATTAATGGACAATGGGTTTTCTAAAACTTAATAAAAGCATGAATTATTTTAGTTAAGCAAGTGCCTTCTTAGACGATACATGCCTTCTTTTCACAAAGAAAGGCCTTTTCAGAGATTGTATGCCTTATGACCCAGCTATTTTACTTTTCCGAGACTATTCTGTTATTCATCCATTGGTTTTTATAGACTTTGAACTCCAAAGATTCCTCTTTGAAGACCTAGGATAACTCTCAGGAAACATACTTCAAAGGGATGTCCATGCTTAACAGGAATGGCAGAAGACAGGGTGAGCAGGAACTCCCTGAAGTTTAAATAATAGAATATAAGAGATCTAATTTTTAGTAAGGGAAATCCAGAGGGCAACCAGTTTGAATTTGGACATGCAGATAAATAAAAAAGACAGCTGTTGTGATCTAGTGGGTCAAAACAAGAACAGGGAAAGCTTTGGTTCAGATCTATCTTCAGTTATGGAAGTTCATTAGGGTCTATTAGGCCAAATCTGGTCATGTCCATTTGTGCAAACTGAATCTTGGGACATGGGGCACAGATGTTTTAAAATCACCACCAAGGAATCTGAAGCCAATGGATAGAAGAGACTTGGCAGGAGAAAAGCACTAATTTTTGCCTTAGGAAACAACAGATCATGACCACCTTCTCGCTTTCTGGCTACACAGGCCGAGGCGCCATGGCAGAAATTTCAACCATTGTGGAAAAAGCAAAGGCGATACTGTTGGAATGGGGCCTGCTGAAGCTGAGTTGATTAGAAGATTCAGGTACTTTCCCCTTTTCACGGAAAGTTTGCTCCGTCCAGCTGGGGAGAGCGGATTAGGAAAGGAAACCCAGAAGACAGGGGCTAGTGCTTAGCCTCCCTGCCTCTGACTCAGTGCGTTTAGGTTCTCCTACAATGTACCTCAGGGGGGTCGACAGGTGAAAAGCTCAGTTGTTTCTCTTTGACAATTTCAGTCCTCATTTCAGCCTGAAGAGAGGGTTGCACTTCATCTCCACCAGTGTTTCTTAACCCTGGCAACTTTAAGACATATGGACTTCAACTTCCAGAATTCCGGCTGGCTGGGGAATTCTGGGCGTTGAAGTCCACATGTCTTAAAGTTGCTAAAGTTGAGAAACACTGATTAGACTGTACAATCTTTTGCCAAGACCTTTCTGAAAAAGGTACCAAGAAGAGCAACAAGGACTGCAAATCCCATCCACTTCCATCAAAATGTGATTAAATGTGCATAGGATTGTACTGAAGACACTCTGAAGCACATTCTATGGCAGTGTTTCTCAATCACAGCAGCTTTAAGGGGTGTGGACTTCATCTACACCAATGTTCTCAACCTTGCCAACTTTAAGACATGTGGACTTCAGCTCCCAGAATTCCCCAGTCAGCATGGTGAGTTGGTCCACATGTCTTAAAGTTGCCAAGGTTGAGAAACACTGACCTTCTGGAGGGTTTTGAAAAGTACTTGAGATAAGATGTGTGGATTCAGACAGGGAACTCGGGTTTTCCAGCAAAGTTCACCTCCTGGATTGGCAGCTTAGGCTCACAACAGAGGTCCTCGACCTCTGCCTTGCACACAGCAATGTACTTCTGGCCTGCTGCCAGAATCAATGACCCCGCTCCCGCATTCCTTTCTGAGGATGTTCAGGATGCAGGGAACATGGGGCACCAGATCGCCTGGGGAGGTGACCATCAGGAGGGCTTGCCCTTTGCTCCGATGGACCCATTGGTGTGAGGAATGCTGACTTCAAAGAGGGAAGCAAACAATGCCTATGTCAGATGGTGCTTCTGCCAATACACATGGTGTTCTTAGCGTGTTGATTTGGGGCTTCAAGGGGTGGGGATGGGGGTGGGAATGCCCAGGAATTCCTTTGCCGAGAAAGAGGATCAATCTTCTGAAAGCACAACTGAAGATTAACAGCTTGTTACAGGAGTACTCAGAAAGGGACCTGTGCCATCTGGAATTGATTAGGAAAAGGGAGCCAAGCCAATCCTATTCCTTTTGATCTGCGCCCATGGGTGACTGTTGGATGGGTCAGTGGCCTGTCACATAAAGTCAGAGTTCGTTCACATATCCTGGAGTGCATTAAAAAAAAAAAAAACCAAATAACACGTCCCCCCCTCCACCCCCGCAAACAGGACAACAGCTATCAAATATGTATGCTTCATTCAGGTTGGGCATTGAAGGGCTCAGCATAAGGAACATGTTGAACAGTTTTTCCTGCAGTAAGTGAAAAACTCCCTGGATCTTTTTTTAATGCTTGGTTCCAGGCCCACTACAACTTTTGCAAGGCTTGAGGGCTTGTGTGAAGGGCGCTAAGCTTTTGGGAAATTAGCCTTACAGAGCTGGCCAAGTGTTAAGTTCACATGCCAAAGCTCCTAGCTTCGGTCTTAAGTCAGTGGGGCTGGGGAATTCAAGAGTCCTCCTGCCACACCTTGTGTTGTTGATGTCATTGTGAACAGTACTACATTAGATGGGCTTCAGGTCTGAATAATTTAAGGCAGGTTTCTGTGTTTCTAAGTAAATAGTCCTTTATTCAGGAACAACAGGACTGGAACCTTTATTTTTATGGGAAGCACCTTTGCTCAGTGATGGAACACCGGCTTTCTGTAAAGAAGGTGCTAGGTTCAACTTCCATCATCTCCAGATTGGGCTGGGAAAACTCCAGCCTGAAGTTCTACAGAGCTGCTGCTAGTCAGGGCTGGGAATAGTGGTCTAGTTGGATGTTTCCCACCCTTGGTGATTTCCAAAATCAGGTAGCAGGTGAGCAAATGGCAGGTGAGGCCATCAGTCAAAAAGATCAGGTAGGTGAGCAAGTAGCAGGTGAGGCTGTCACTCAAAAAGATCAGGTAACAGCTTGAGGCCTGAAGGTCTTTTGCCATCCAGTAGACATTGCTGGCATAGATGGACTCATCTACCCTGTTAGTAAAACTTATTCCAGACCTCCTGCTTCACATCTTGTTTGGCCTTTAAATGCTGCCAGCCACATTGCTCCTGCTGACTCTGGTCTTCCGAGGGTGAAGAGGACTTTTATACCTGTTGTGAAATGTTGTGGTCCAAAACCCAAAAGGTAGGGGAAGGTCATGTTTGCAAACACCATTGCAGCCACATGCAAAGTGGCCTTGTAGGCGGGCAGTCAGTTAAGTTGAGTTTTCAAAAATATTGACGGATGTTTGTCTGCCTCGTTGTGCAAGCAAGGCCAAGCAGATAAAGGTATGGGGAGCCCCCACTGCTCTGCAGGTTGTTCTGCAGTGTTGAAAATACAGCTCTTTTGCCTTCAGTCCAGACACGCCAAGGAATGTTGTACAGAAAATCAGGTTCTGTTTCCCCACAGAACAAGCTTGGCAGTATGAAAATAGAAGGAGGTCATTGAGTATAACATTCTCGCACTTGCCCTGTTTGAGAAAAAGGCAAGGAGAATCCCTAGTGTGCTGATTCCATAGAACAGTGTTTCTCAACCTCAGCAACTTTAAGACATGTGGACTTCAACTCCTGGAATTCCCCAACCAGCTTGCTGACTGGGGAATTCTGGGAGCTGAAGTCCACACTGCTTAAAGCAGCTGTGGTTGAGAAAAACTGCCACAGAGTGTGCCTCAAAGTGTCTTCAGTACAACCCTATACACATTTAATCACATTTTGATGGAAGTATGCATGGGATTTGCAGTCCTTGTTGGTACCTTTTTCAGAAAGGTCCAGGCAAAAGATTAGTCTAATCCTTTGCTTCTTGCAACTAATCTACAGCTACGACAACCCTCTCCACGTATGGAGTTCAACTTTTCAATTTTCAGCAACAGGCATATCGTTGACGGAGGATTCTGAGGTTGATCTACGTACCTAGGGGGCCATCCAGGTTGTAGAAGGCTGTGCTACAGTCTCCCCAGCAGATGGCAGTTTGGAGTTAGATGATGCAGTTGAGAATGTATGTTGCTCATCTGCCCATTTGTCTTCAGAGTTGGGAACTGGGGCTCTCTAGATTTTGATGCACTGCTCCACAGTGAAGAACGACAGGAATTGTAGTTCAGAACCGTAGAGGGCCATCGTCCCCATTTAAACTCTTTCTAATTATTGTCTACGTTTGGGTGGCTCAGTGGGATAGATTCTGGATTGAAACCACGCACCTTAGTTCTGATACTAAAGATAAATCCCTGGGGTAGGATTTGCTGAGCAGGCATCCTCTCTTTAATTCAAAGTATATCTTTTTTGCATCTTGCTCTGTGTGGTGGACCTTGGGATTCTAGCAAAATGCAAAATTAATTGAACAAGCCTGAAATCTACTCATCTCTGGCCCGGCCCAGGATCCTGCTAAAATTGCCATGGTATCAAGGCACTGCTGAAAATGAAAGGCGAAGCTATTACATCAAGGCACTCTATTCCCTTAACCAATGTCACGTTAAGGAAGTCTTTCTTGATTAAGGGATAATATAATACCCTATTACCAGGCTAAAGATGACTTGATGACTTGCTCTTACTTTCAGAAAGCATGCATAAATTACAGATTTGAATGTTGGAATTGAGTGGTTGTCTTGTCTGTATGAAGTTTTATTTTCTATTTAGGGTGGATTGTTTTACTGAAATGTGATTTATTGTTTTGGTTACTGTGCGGGCTCAGGGGAGAATGGAATACAAATAAATGGTATACAAATAAACATTGAGAAAAATAAACATTGAGAAAAATATGAAAGTCAGCCTTTAGATTTCAGTGAGCTGTAATTTACACTGTTCTGCTCCTGCTGTGGGAAATTATTGAATGAAATTTTTGAAAGGGCTTTGGAAACCAGCTTCTACATTTCCAAGAAGCCAGCCTTGAGTGAGCAGCTTGGAGTGATATTGGGTATCTGCAAGCCCGCCCAATTCTGCACCTTCTGATTTGGTCTTCCTTTGACAGGATATGATTCTTGGAAAAGGGGGAATTTTGAGCTGTAAAAACACCACCGTGGTTGGGTGTGGCTGCTGTTCTGGAGCTGGTTCTAAGTGTCAACTGTATGTTCATTGGTGGGTGTGAGAATGAAGAGCTTTTCCCAACCTTGTGTCCTCTAGGCTTGTTAAACTGGCTGAGGTTCATGAAAGTTAGAGGACAGAGCACTGCATGTTCCCACCAGCCTGACCTGATGCACCTGAAGCACTTAGCGATCCGTATGGTGAATGAACATTAGATGTGGCTTTATCATGACATTCCAATGGAAAAAGAATCAGTGTTATCTGTATGGCTACATAATAAACACATTTTTTTTACAGTTTCTCTGTCCATTTGTCCAAGGTCCTCCTCTGAGCATCCTGGCATTTCTTTTCTTCTCTGTTCTCTGGTTGGTGGATCTCTCTGATTACTGTTTGGGTATTCTTACTGCACTAGTCATGGTGGGTGACGGGTGCTATCCCCTTGTTGGTGCTGAAGCCAGTGGCAATCTGCATGGCTTTTGTACAAGGATCAGAATTCAGGAGCTGTCTTCCCCTTTGTACCAGTAGAAGAGACTCTCTGTAGCTCAGGGTTGAACTGTGGAGTCCTTGGTGTTCTCTGAGCTTGGTTGTTTTCTTGCAGACATTTCATGACCCAACTAGGTAACATCTTCAGTGCCAATGAGTGTGGGGTTTGCTCCCTGTTTATATATAGTAGCTTGCCCTGTCAGTGTTGGTGAGAGTATGGTTTTCTCCTTGGTAGTTCCTAGATTAGGCTGTTGTTTACTGCTTGATTGTTTTTCTGAATTGGTAGTTCTTTGATTAGCATATTGTTTACTGCTTGATTGTATGTCTGGTGTTGATCCTGGTGTTAATCC